TGTTGTTGTTGTTGTTGTTGTTGTTGGTATTGGTGTTGTTGTTGTTGTGGTGGTGGTGGTTGTGGTTGTTGTGGTTGTTGTGTTTGTTGTGTTTGTTGTGTTTGTTGTGGAACACTATGCACAGCTGCCGGATCCAACTCACTACGATGAGCTCCAAGAGCACTAGAGGATGTTCAATGATGCTTGCTGTGGACTCTGAGTGGACCGTGAGAGGTAGAAGTGCGTCCATCACTTCTCACCATAGCTCTGTCTTCGTTTCACCTTTCCGCTGACTACGTACCCTTCGTGTCCAAGGCAATCCTGTGTTTCTGGTGTGGGTGTTTTGGTTGTGGTTCCGGCCCCTTTTTGTGTTGTTTTGCTGTTTTTCCTGCTGGCGAAACGCAAATCTGGCCGGGAGATTTGCGAGTCGTCGCTGTTTTTGCCTGGTTTTTGTTTGTGTGGTTTTGGATTTGCCTTGAATTGTGGAACCACGGTGTTCCATAATGTTTGCAGTTTATTTACCCGCTTCTCTCATTGTTAGGACCGAGCCTCAGAGCGAAATCGGCCGCAACAGAAGGAAAAGGAAAAAAAACCTTTCCGCTGACTACGTGTCAGTGTCATTGAGTCCCATGTTTTACCCAAGATTTGTGAGAATTTATGCTCTTTTTTTTGACCGGCGCCCTGTGCCTTTCGGCGGGTCGCGGTGTATTGAGACTTACTCGTCCACCACGTCACGATTGCGGCCCCGTACCCGGGGGGAATCGATCCGCGGCTAGCTGTCTATGCACGGTCCTGGGACGGGCATTATACCACTACTCGACGAGATCGCCTTTTGTGAGAATTTATGCCCGCGTGGCTAGAAAGGGTATAGGACATGCGTTGGGTACTCACTTGGAAGGTCATTCAAAATGATCAGGGTGAAACCACTGGGTGTAAACCTAAAGCTCGACTTATTGTCAAGGGTTTCCAAGATCTTGATTTGTTGAACTTGAGAAAGGAAAGCCCTACCTTGAGTACTCAAATGCCCGCGTGGCCTGCTCTGTGTGATCTCGGGGCTCCTGGCTGGGGGGAGCCTTGGTTTCCGCACAGTGCTGTGTTGCTTTTTCTCACATGTCAATTGTATGGCGATATGTGATGTGTCTTGTTCAGTTGTTTTCTTCGCCATCCCAATTCACCTGATGATGCACAAGTCATCATCTCAATACATTGCTGGCCGGGTCAACCTCATTGTGCCGCTCCTGGTTTTTCTGTGTTTTGTTTGCTTGTTTTTTGTTGTGTCTGTGTTGTGGTTTGTGTTTCTCACGGCATGTGGTGACCAAGGACCCTGTATGGGTCCCCCAACGGTATGGCTTCTTTTGCACCATCCTTTCAAGATGGTTGAATTTATATCTGCCCTAATTAATTGGCAATTTGCAGCATGCAAGAGCGTGTTGATCGACCTGGCGAAAGCTGAGAGGCGATGGACGGAAAAAAAAACATGCTGTCAGTTTCTGCCATGAACATTGGACTGTTCAAACCGGAGAGATTGAGACTGCGTTCTTGAATGGTGACAAGACTGAATACCAACGTGCTATTTATGCTGAACCACCTGAAGAAGTCAAAGGCATGTTAGGCATGGAGTCCTAAAGTTTTTACAACAACATCCTGCGCTATCCTTCTGGAACGGCGCTTATAGCCAGAAGGACATCGTGCACATGGTGATGATGTTTTTTGGACATTCACTTTGCCTTTGACTATATCGCAAACTTTGGATTCTGACTTCAACTAGTAACTAAGATTTGAGTCAGGAAAAGTGGTTGCCACATCGATATTGCGGACGTCGAAAGGGGGTGTGGAAATATGCCTTCCTGGTGCGCTATCCATAATAACATGCATCAAGTGAATATCTGGAAATCATGGCATTGCGAGCTCAGTGAACCCTGTGACCTTCACCATGGTGAACGTCACGCGATTTCATCCAGAATGATATTGCCTGATTTGAATTTGGTGGTTAATTCGATCGTTTTGTGACTCTGACGATCATTATTGCTCCATCATTGTAGCTAGCTGATTTTGTGACTCAACGCAGTTTTGAATTTTTCAATCAACATTTTGGGAAAGGTTGATGATTTTGAACCAGGAATTGCGTTTCCTCAACGGACATTGGCCCGAGGGAGCTCTAGTGTCATGAAGTTCAGACTTGAACCGAACTGTAGTTTCACAGTCAGCAGGACATTGAACCTAAGGAGATGTTTCTCCGTGTTCGGGTGTGTCCCCTTCTTTGTTTGCCTCCTTTGTGTTGGGTCCGAGCGAAAAGACCGAAGCTGGCGTTTGCACTTAGGAGTCCAGGGTTGCACCTGCTTTTGTAGGATTGAGGTTTTGATTTCGCCTGTGGTTTTTGGTGTTCTAGACGGTTCTAGACCTAGACCTTATGACCAGATCTGCTTCCCACTCCTAGAGAGTGGCGTTCAAACGTTGCTCCAGTTGCTCTTTTTCGAGCTGCAGCTGCGCATTCACCTGATGTTGGGTGTGCTGAGCGGTAGTCAAGGCTTGCACCTGACTCGCTAGAGCCTCCATCTGCAGTTGCATCTGTGCCCTTTGTGCTGCTCCATCTTCCTCTTTGCGCTCGGGTGGCCTTTCGCCCACCACGTCCAAGGTTGCACTCTGGCCCTCTGCTCAGAGCCCCTTGGATCTGCTCACACACTCAAGAGCTTTGTTGAACTCTTGCTTTACTGTGGGTGTCAGCTGGCTCGCACGTGCGGGGACTTCCGCTGCATACAGTGGAGGTACGGCCAACTTCCGCAACGGATCCTTGTTGCTAGAGCTCGATGCCACCGGGTGTTCTTGGGGAATATCGTTTAGATTTTTCCCTTGAAACACCGGGTCTCTTTCACAGATCTCAAAGCTTTCCTCGCTTGAGATGTTTCGTTACCAGTCTACTACTTCGATGTCCACGTCCTGGGGGACTTCCACCGATAGATTGGGGCTGGTTCGTCTAGAACCTGCTTGGCTTCGTCCAAGTCTTTCTGCAGTCGGGCTCGCTTGGCTGCTGCCCTTGAGTTGGCCCTTTCAGCTACAGGGACCAACTTCACCGGCTCTGGTGGCGGTGGGTCTGGTTCGGCCGGTGCGTCGGCCGAAGCTGGCTCAGCAGGTGGCGTGTCCGTGGGCGGTGCTGTCCCTGCTCTTGGCTCAGCTGTTGCTGTTGGCTGAGCTGTTGCTGTTGTGGCTGCAGCTGTTGTCTCAGCTGTTGCTGTTGTGGCCGCTCTTCGTGGAGCCCTTCGCTCTTGACCTCGTTGGATGTTGGGCTCTGTTCTGGCCACTGAGCGATGTCCTCGCCGGTTCCTGTCTTGAGTGAACGGACTACTGCGCGATCGGTTTGTGTTTGGTCGACCACATCACCACCAACTGTTGTCGGTGCTTTTCTCAGCGTCCCTTGTTGCAGGAACTCTGGGTTCTTGCTGCGGAGAGTCCACCCCAGCCACGGTTTGCCCAGTCACGGACTTGCCAGTCACGGTCGTCCTATTCCAAGACTCCCAGGTGTTTTCCCAAGAAACCGTTTTGTTTTTGGAATTCCCCACGTAGCTTTGGCTGCGCAGGCCTGCCCACAGTTAGGACGGAGCAACCACCATGCAAAAGCCGCGGTAGCAGCGGTGAGTGCGTATTGGGCTCACTTAGTTACTTACCTCCCCGCTAGTTCAAAGACACCACGGTTCAGTGGCACCTTACTCTGTGCAATTTGCCGCATTGAGTTTGGAGAGGCCGGTGAAGGTGGACAATTCGAAAGTGGTGGATCAGCAGATCACCTCCTGAATCCAGAACGTGACTTTTCAACACGTCAAGGTGAGTTCACAGCGACAGTTCATGACCTGCGTGCTCAGCTCAACATTGCTCTGACTAGAGGAAACTGGGCTGACACAGCTGAAATTCAGAGGATGATTCTTCTACTTTTGGACAATCTCCACAGCCAGGGCATGGGCGATCCAGGAACAAGGAGAAGGGTTTTTCACCAGATGGCAGATCCTTCCCAATGACGTCCCGAAGGGTTGAGAGAAATGGTGCAAATCCAACTAGTTGCAAGGTATCGCTCCTATGAGGAAGTCTACCCTGGACGCATGTGAAATTTGAATGTTTGCACTTTCCCGGTGACCAGAATGCTTACCTACCTTCCGCGAATTTGGGCATGTCCCGGTTACAATTATTATGCCCAATACGCTACTAGCGGACATGCAACTGCAAAACCATTGCAGCTTCGCGCCGTGGGCTTCAGGTCCAAGTTTCAATGGAACTGCGACCAGACTTCTCAGGAAAGTCTGGATTGGAACTTGCTGCAAGTGATGATTGCGTGATTGGTGCAGATGCGGTGGCAGAAAAGTGCTGTGGTGCGATGGGTGGATTCAAACCTACACCCATCGAGGAGGAGTGTGAAACTTTGGTGATTCTACCCAATTCCATGCACATGGCTGGGATCATGGCAATTTCATGGCACCTGCACAAAGATGACAGGCACAAATCATGTCGGCGGCAGTTTCATTTTTTCATTCAATTGGCATGTGAATTGCATGCATTTACTTCGAGGCCCTGCGGTCCAAACAAAAAGGTGTTGTTGTCAGCAGTTCCTTCGCATTGTTGGATCATGCGTTAATAGGCTGTTTTCACACCAACACGGTGGGAACACAACAAACAATCATGTTGTGTTTTCAATCAAAAATATCCATGCCTGGCTTTGATTGATTTGAAAAACATACCCGTCAGGAACTGGGCGAAACATGGTTGAAATGGTTTTGAACACATGACCCAGATTCATGTGATTCATGTTTTTCGACCCATATGAAAATCTTGAGTTATGTGTTTTGACTGATTTGCTTCTCACGTTTATTGATTGCTGCATGGTTGAAGAAAACGAATTAATTTGTACAATATCAAAAACAACTTGTTGTTCCCACCGATTATTTTTAGATTTCATTATTGGTTGAAACATACATGAGAGCATTCATATGTTCCATTTGCGAATGCTGCGGTTTCTGTTTATGGTTCAGCACTCGGAAAACTCTTCGGTGCGATTTCATCAGTCGGTCTCTGAACAAAGGGCTGCTGGCTGCATCATCACAAACCTGCAAAAATGTAAATGTAAACGCACAGTCCAACAGAATATCTTGCACATGCAGAATTGATCTTTGGAAGGTTTGCATGGTGTTTGGGGGCACCAGCACGTTTGGGTACCAAAATGTTCAGTTGGCATGTTCTATGTGTGGAATCGATTGGTCCAATGAACAATATCCACTATGAATTGGAACAGTTGGTAACGAAATGAGGCATTTTTTCAGTCACAATCATTTCCAATTCCACAGCATGGGATCAGAACTAAGGTCCACGTCATGCAAACGTTGGTCTTCATAAGCCTCCTCGGATCTTTCGTGGAGGTCTCGCTTGTTCAAATTAAGAGTTGGTATTGCCATTTGTTTTTTTCCGGTGATAATGTGGTACACCCAACTTACATCAAATAAACATGTTCATGAAACAATCATTCCATCAACCATTCAATGGGATGTTGCGATGTCTTATGGAGGACAATAATGGTAAACCCAAAATCACAAACCATCCCCAATGCTATCCTTCATTGAAGGTTCATTAAATTGGATTTACAACATTAAATGCAGAAAATAATCCAGGGAACCATCTGGATACCCTTCTAATCCCCATAATAATGATTGATTTGACTACTACCCGATGATTAAAAGTACTTGGCATCCACTAATATGCACGTAAATCAACTTCTCATTCGGCTAAAGTGGGACCAATTGCAAACAAACCACAAACAACATCAATCATGAACTAAATAATATTTTGTAACAAACGGACAGATGTTAGGTATTGTTAGGTTTTGGATGTTATTCACATTTGAAACCGACAAAACTGTGGCAATTTATTTCACTGATCAATTTCCCATGTTTGCGATGCAAGATCATGCGATGAACCCTGTCCAACTAGACCGCGGAGTAAGTAGCGTCTAGTTGGGTCATCATCCCAATCTTCATTTCGGCCTGATTGGCAATTATGAGTAAACGAATACAAAACAGTTCGCAAGTTCACCAGAATCTCGCCCCAATTAAGGGTCGGCAACGTTAATTCCCTCCACTTGGGCATATTTCCGACAATCTTACTGGAGTCTCCTCCCTCATTTTTCTGAGATGACATAGATATCACCACTAATTAAACATCGTGGTTTAGCATTGGATCTATTCATTTTTGGGGTCAATTTTGGGGTATGTAACAGGGGACGGGAATAGACAAAAAACCGTACGAACCACCGTGCCCCCGACCTGGTGATGCCTCGTGCAGGGTAGCATTTTAGATGAAAAAATTTTGGAAACTCGTCAAACAAAAAGTCAAACGTGGCAGGACGTGCACAGAAATCCCCATCAAACCAAAAACAATCTATATATGGAGATGATATAGAGATTTTGTGTTTTCTTTTCATTCATTGCCGTGCGAGATTACCAATGGGTGGCAGGGAAGGAGTGGTGTGTGTGAAGATTTGCTGGTTTGGTTTTGTATCAACATTTTATGAGGGCAGGATATTGATGCCCCACAAATAATGGATGTCTCAGTGGCGAAGTCACAAAGTAGCAGGGCGAAGTATGCTGCGACATCACCCAAATTTGCAGCGTTTCTGATATTTTCGCAGGCGATTGTCAACATAGATTCTGAAGTCTCGGGGGCTTGTGACTTTTAGAACCTCTGGCATCAATTTGATGTGTTTGGGACAAACATGTAGCACATTGACTCCTCGATTAGAACTTGGAAGCGCAGATTTCGGGTACAAGGATGTTTCAAGTTCACCCTACTGGCAACAACTGACCAATGCAAAAATTAGGGGGACATTTGTTTGTCTCTCATAGCAGACGTGCCTTTGGCTTTCTGATTTCAATGCCATCGACAAATCTGGCAGAGTCCCTCCATCTCAAGGTTGTCTTTTGCAGGTTTCCTTATGCCGTTGGAATGGTTGTGTTTTTATCGACAGAAAATTGACCCACACCATGTTTTTTTGTGGATACCCACTTTGCCAAACTCAAGTGTTGTCAGATTTTTGTGCCCTTTTTTTTCCAGGCTCCAATTTTTCACCTGCAGTTTTTGGTTTCAGATCCTGACTGAGGAATCAGTGGCTAGTGGTGCAGTACAGCTGACCCTCGACGGCTCCGGGGAACTGGAGTCGGTTCGGGTGGCCCCTGCTGCAGAGAGCGAGAAACCCTTTTGGAAGAAGTCGCCCAAGCTGCTCGCTGTGATTCGCTCCGAAAAACTGCGGTGGTTTTGGGCGAAGATTTCTTGGGCCGAATACCGATGTTCTCATAGCTTTGAGTAAAGGGGTGACATTTGGCCAGCTCACAAAAGGTCTGACCTGGGCATGTCCAGACAGAGAAAAAGATGGGGCCTGCTGCAGATCACAAATGGGTTAAGAACCCGTGATTTACAGTAACTGGTCGAAGACTTTATTTTGTAAGACCATCTATGAATCTATAAGTGGTGGAAGCCCAGAGATTAACCACGACTCGACTCTGATTTGTCGGGCTAAGGTACGACGAGGATGCTGGGCCCCCCAGAAACTGAACATTTTCGCGATTGCAGAGTGTTTGGAAACTTGACAAAGGGACGGCGATACATAGCTTAATCTTCACATCATAGATGCCACAAAAGATCAGTTCCAGACCAATATCTGGGTCGCGCCCAGAGGTCGAAAAGACATTGGAAGCAGCGAACCTCACCAAAGACGAAAGATCCGAGGCTGCTGTGGGTTTCACCGATGACACGAGCGTCTACCGTTGTGGCACGAATCTGTGTGGGTAAGGCAAGCCGGGTCATCATCCTGTTCTATTCCTGATCAATTGGATAATGGCTGTTTTACCTCCTCAAACCAGGGCTTGGCCAATGTGGGATTCCCAGCAACACCTCTAAATTTGATGGTTAATTACCATTGTCCCATTACAAATACGTATATAGTTTTTTGGGGTAACATGTAATTTCCAGATACACCCAAGTGGTTGCTGGAGATTCTTCCTCAATTGGTCTGTTCAGGTGGAGAAGAACTTAGATGAACTCTTGAACCGCACCAACGTCTCCGCATTGGCAGAGGCTTGCCTGTCATCGCGGATTAGATTGTTGGGTGTTTTTCATCATCATCATCATCGTCGTCGTCATCATCATCCTCCTCCTCCTCCTCATCACCATCATCATCATCATCAGCAGATTCCCACAAACATATTGGCATAATTTATGCTATACCAGCAATTTCCGGGGATACCATATGATTATCCCAATCGCCCGCCAGGCCTTCGTCAGGGCTTCCTTGGCTAGGGTATCCCAGATAAGTCATGTTTCTTTTGGGCTGAAACTGCCTAGAGAATTGTTATGGCTAAGAAATCTCCATACAGAAACCCCAGCCAGTATATGTCTCAAAATGGGAAATACCATGAAATACCGCAATTTATGGCCATTTTGAGATTGGACATTGAGTTGTACACCATGGGATTTGGGCGTTCCAAATTTTCAGACCCAGTAGATCCAGCAGGGTCTCCATCTCTACTGGTCAAACGGATAGAAAAGGGAAATCCATTTGAAAGAACTCGATTTCCATTTTCCCTTCAGTAGAATCAAGATCCAGAAAATCCAGCATGTATAAATCATTTTCCTTCATTTTCCCTATGGTTTCGAAGATTTTCCCATATTTTCCACATCTCTCTTGGCATTCGAGCCACCCGAGGTGCAATCGGAGAACCACACGGTGGCGCTTAGAAATAGATCTGGCTCCGTGACCGTGAAGGGCACGGACCAGAGTTGGGGGGTTGGGGGTTGTCCGAATCAGTGATCAATTCGAAGGGAAGACATGTTACCACAAGCGATTTGTGATTATCAAATTGATCATGATCAGATTGAGAAATGGCTGCAGATGATTTGATGATCTAAACCTCCCATGTTTTTTGCGATCACGATCAATCTGATTCTATGTATTCTGATGCCTGAGAATCATGATGTAGCATGATATATCATGATTCTCAGGTTATCAGGGTCAAGCTTGTGACTTCGCATTCCGCAGGACCCAAAGTTGAAGGTGCTCAATGACCAGCATGACAACCTGACACGGATGATGCATGGCCAGGTGCTGGGTCCAATGGATGATTTGCTGAACGCCAAGGGATTGAGATCTCAAACATTTGAAGAACATCAAGACGATCCCTTTTTATCCCTTTTTTATTATGTGATCACAGGATTCCACCAGAACATCCACCATTTTTGGCGGTCTCTAGTTGGGTACGGCTCAAAATCATTCGCCAATTTGGGCCTTTGAAAACCACAGGTTTCAATGATTTTGATCAAAACGCTCTTTTCCAGCGATATCCCCGTTAATTTTTGTTGCAATCATGCTTTTGGATGATTAAGTCCCATTTACCCTCTGGTGAACTAACATAGCTATGGCAAATCACCATTTTTAATGGGTAAATCCACTATTTCTATGGCCATTTTCAATAGCTATGTTAGTTTACCAGAGGGTAAGTCCCATTTTGGATGCTTGGAATCCTCCTTTTGGGAACAAAAACCATGGGCTTTGAATCCTCCAGGCGGATGTGGTGGCTCATACCTCTGCGAACCTGGCCAAGAACAACGAGGTCTGATCAATTCTGATCACCTCCACGTTCACCGTTGAGGGATGGAATTTTGGGAGTTCCAGCTGTGGGAGGTTAGAGATACTATGCAGGTACTATGATTAAATGCACAATATTCTCACTTTTGAAGTGTCTATCATCTAGTACTTCCAAGTGATCGAAAAGAAGATGATGCAGATCTTTGTCATGATCCTGATATTCTATGATGGAAACCCTGAGTGACCGAACAGCTCAGCTTGGGAGTGAACATACCCCGGGCTGAAGTGGCACTAGTCTAGCGGCAAACCACTTTTTTTTGGGCTACCGGTTGTATTGTATTGAGACCTGTGGATCCAGAGTGAGGATTCCAACAATAACATCAGACTTCCAGGATATTGAGGCACCAATACCAATGGGTTGGTGTGTCAGCCGTACACTCGAAATGTTACTCAGCCATACACGCGGGAAGACATATGTGGCGACTACATGTTGGATGACGACATGTAGGCAATTTGTTAGGGTATGAGATCAACTTCCAAATGCATGCTACGCGCTTCTTTTGCATGTGCGAGCAGCCTCCATGCAAGCGGTAGAGGATTTTCTCTTGCACTTGGAGACATACTTGATGCTAAGGTATGAGATCTTATATTGCACATGCACACATATTATCATACTGCTGCGTTACGCTATAGTTTCCCCTTTTGCACGGATAAAAAATATTCGCTGGTGGGCGCACGCATAGTAGATGCTAACTGGGGAGGATCTTCTCTTGCAATTTGCTAACTTGATTGAGCGCAATAAACCCTAAAGGCGTTGTCCCTGCTTGCTTGGTTGAACACAATAAACCCTAAAGGTGTCACCTCTGTTTGCGTGGTCGAACACGAAAAACCCTCACGGCGTCGAACCTGCTTGACAACTATGTTGAACACACTAAACTCTAAACATGTGGTGGTCCTCTACGTGGCTGAGCTTGCTTTCTATGTATGGCTGAGGCTAATCTGTGTGCGTAGGTGAGTTTCATGTGTGTGCGTGGCAGAGTTTTTGCCTGTGTGCGCCGCTGAGCTCTATCTGTGTGCGTGGCTGAGTACCAACGGAAGCAACTATTCCATGAAATTCCAGTGGCCTCTCTTCATCTTCCCGGTTGGTTTGTTTTTAAATGATCGGCCAGGAGATGGACAAACAGGAGATGGAAGTGGCACATGCTGGGGACTTGTACAACAAGGCCCATGGCGATTCTCTGCGAGCTGAAAAGGCTTTGAAGGTCGGCCGCGGCCTGGGCGAGTCGGGGCTGTTGTAATTTTGGGGCCACCGCAGTCTTTCTCTGGATTCAAGTCTAAGCAGTTTGTTGGTGATATGGCAGTGTTTTTCAAGTTTCTCGGAGATGTATGCATGTAGCTTGGTATTTTGAATGTTTGATCATTTTGCTGAATATTTCTAATATTTCTTCAAAGATGAACATTAGAAAAGGTAGCAGCGAGCGATGGGTTGAACAAGGTTTGGAGTAGCCGCTTCCTGTCAGAAGAACTGCAACACTGGCCAATTTTCATGGTCAGACTGAGTTGCAGCTAGTTCTCAGTTATCTTGTCCAAATGATTTGTGGTCCACATTCCAAAAAGGGGTAAGTGATGCACATTCCCAAAATTGTGCGGAAATCAGTTCATATACCAAACTTGTTCACTTGTTCAGATTGAACCGTGTTCCCATTTACAAACCCCAAACGGGATTGTCTGGTAATATGGTAGAATTATATCCTAAAATCCCCTGGTTCATCATCATGTTTCCTACACCTGTACAGCATTTTGGAGTGTACTATCCATTTTCAGATTTTTCAGATGTCCATATATTCATTATTCATCATTATTCAGAGGCGAAATCTTCATTTTTTCATGGCAGAAATGGCCACCTCTGCCCCATTTGACCCCGGATCACTGGTATCCACCTGGATCGGCGCCAGGATCACCTCGTCGCCCTGGCGATTGCCAAGAAACGTCGAGACGATCTGAAGCGAAAAGCCGATGAGGCACGTGATTTTTTTCATTTTATTTAACATAGCCATGGAAAATGGCCCATAGAAATAGATGGTTTACCTATTAAAAATGGTGATTTTCTATGGCTATGTTAAATAACCAGATGGTATATCAAAAAGGAAACCCTATTGATGAAGCGGCATACTGAAATGACAGAGGGTTTTGAACGCTGTGCATTGAAAAAGGGGGATGGTCAGGCCATGGGTGGTTTATAGTCAAATTTATAGCGTCTATGATTATCTGTGATTATCTGTGATTATATATCTGTGATTATATATCTGTGATTATATATCTGTGGTTGTATATCTGTGGTTATATATCTGTGATTATCTGTGATTATCTGTGATTATCTGTGATTATCTGTGATTATCTAAGTATCTATGTATCCAATTTGTTGCTGTCATTTGCTTATCCATTCGCTTCTCCATCGATTTCTCGTTATTTCTCCATCTTTTTCATCGTCGCGGGTGCGCAGGCACGACGAGTCTTAGAGCAAGTTGGACCGCAGTACAACGCTGCCCAGGCGGGTCCCGATTCACCCCTGAGACGGGAAGCCGTTGAAGTCGTTGAAGTCGTTGAAGTTGTTGAAGCCTTAAACGTTTAAAGCTCATCCACAATGCTTCATATCCAATGGTTTATCAAAATTTATCAAATTCATATCCATGAACTTGGTGATTTAGATTGTGATTATCATCTCAAATGCTGATTCAATATATTCAATCCTCAAGACCTCAGAATCACAAATGGTGATTTAAGCAGAGAAACAATGGAACTGAACTGGATATGCCTTCATCAATCAGATGTGCCTGGCTCGAACAAGAATATTTCAAATTAGAATGTAAGCTATCATTTATCTATAGTCTATAAGCAGGATTTTCCAGCACGCCAGGTTAGACTCTTAAAAGACAGGGTGGGGGTCAGGTGTTTGGATCAAAAACGGTTTCATGCCATCACGATGCTGAAATAGATTGCACATTTCAAAAATTACATTCTGATCATGATAAACCACTGGCGCTGATCATGATAAACCAGCCAATCTGCGGGTCCTGGAAAATCATTTGATGGCTTCCCTGGCAGTACCACTTGGATATCCTCATGTCAAGGACTCCGGGACTGAAGGCGCGGCGTCACTTCGTTGGGATGATCCTAATGGCTACGATTCTTGGGATGGGTTGAATCATTGAACCAGTTGGAAGCCAGTGTTCGTTGCTGAATCTCAGCATGTGTTGCTTGAGTAGCCGTTGCAACACATGAGGGCCAGGTCTCTTGGGAAGGTTCTCCGCTTTGTTACCTTTCTACATCTCACCGCTGTCTATCTCCAGCCATGGCTCATATCTTCAAGCGCAGCCGCTGCACGGTGAAGTCTACGGCATCCACATGGCATGCAGGAGCTCCCCAAGCTCTGTCCGAGCTCCAAGTTATCCAAGTTCCGAAACGGTCAGGATCGGTGGGGCCCCATCAGGGGAGCTATGGAAAGAAGAAACAAGTCCTGGAAGCCAAGAAGACTGGACAAAAGTGCTGCGACCAGAGTCATGCCTTGATCGATTTCGTGAGCTCTGTTGACGTCTTGGACCTGACTCTGGTAGAGCCTGGAGAAGTGCACGGGGAGAACGACTATGTGGGAATTGGAGCAAAATAATTCTATATTATGCCAAATTTTGTCAGAAACTCTCCGAATTGGTTTGCTCAACAGTCTAGCTAGGCTTGAAGATGGTTTTCAAGATGGTTGTAAAATCAAAAACAACGTGACTACTTTGATTTTGATGCAACCCTTTCCTTGGTCCTGCAGGTAGAGCTCCCAATGTGCCTGGGATGGCAACAGTTAAGAAAATGTATTCTGCGGAAAAAGTGAGTGTTTTTCAGCGCAAGATGGCATGAATCCAGCTTCCACATGTGGTAATCTCCGCCATCTCAAGCTCAACGTGCAGGATCATGCCAAGTCCAAGCTCAGCGATGAAGATAAGATGGAAGACTTGTTGGAGGCCGGGAGCCACGGGGGGATTCATTGGATTCACCGATCTGATTTTGTCCTCGGGCAGGCAGAGGAAAAGAAAAAGAAGGACATGCAGGTGCACAGCTCACGCAGTGGTATCGGCTGTTACATCTGTTACATCGTTTTAGCTGTTCCACTGGAGGAACCAGAGAAGATAGGAGGCTTGAATCCAGTCCGGCCTCCTTATAAAAACATAGAGGTGAATGAACCAGATGTATTTTATTCTTTGAGAAGCAAACAAAATTCCACTACCTGTCCGGTCCGTTACGAAATCTGGGTTGGTCCAGAAATCTGGGATAGTCCTGTCATCCTGGTTGATCATTTTCCTCATTAAATCTCATGTTGGGCGAATTTCAGATACATCAAATTCTTGTTTTTAAATGTCGGTGATACATCCTCATATATACCCGTTATATCCCGTTATAACCCTTAAAATGGTTGGGGATATGTTCCATTATCCTCACTGTCCCATGATCATTATAAAATATAATGTGTATATATAATATATATATATTGTTGGTTGTATATAGTATATCCAAATATCATCAAGTATCTATCCTCACTACTGTATATCTTCATTCAATCCCTATCCCCTCAAAATGTTTGGTGATATGTTCCCATACTATTGTTTTGATTCAACCATATGTCTGGGTAAATTACAGCGAGCCCATTGACCAAACCCCATCATAATCTATGGGGGTACGTAGGGGAAATCATCCCCAAATGGCCGAGAGAATCTGGTTTGGGACATGTTACCCTGCGGTAATTTAACGTAGCTATGGAAAATCATCATTTTTTTGGGTAAATAAGCATGAATGATATATTTTTTATGGACCATTTTACATAGTTATGTTACTAGCCAAAGGGTATATCCCATAAAATCTCCCAAATCTCCATTTTCCTTAGATGATTCTCCAAGATACGTCAGATATGGCTCCACAGTTCCGCCACTTGAACGAGGCGAAATCTGCGGGCGATGATGCAGCGCTGCAGGCGCAAAACTTGTGGATTTCAAGCAGCGAATGTCAGGGTTTCAACAGAAATTGGGGATAATTGGGGTCTAACCAGCAAAACTTGGGGTTGAACCACCAAAGATGGGTACTCAGCAAAGATCTGCCGAGTATCTCCTGCCAACATGGTGTCAAAAAACAAGGGGAATTGGGAACAATCCAGATTTCATGCGCAGTTTGGGGGCGAAAAAAAACCCAAGATTGCCCCATTCCAAGAGACCCAACCCTGGATGAGGCGGCAATCGCCAAGCTCAATGGCCTGAACGGCGATTTGAAGCGCATCGAGGATCGGTTGGTCAGACAGGGTTCTGAGTCAAAAGTTGAGATTTTATCCTGAAATGTGAGGGTTTCGAGCGGTTCAACCTTCAACCATCACGGAAGATACACCCGCCAATTCTACCCAAATTTGCATGATTATCCTGAAAAAAAGACCAAACACGTGTTCGTAGAACGTTGAGCCAAACTTTTTTTTTGCAAGAAAGAAGTGTGACTGTTTGAGCTTCGCGCAGCGTTCTCAGGACAAAATCGAGCACTGGAATGGAGCACGGCACTGTGCAGTGGCCGCTCTGCCCTTGCTCTCGGTGCTCACTTTGATGACCTCAGGAGCCTGGAAGTCGGGATCACATTACATGGTGTGTCTGAAAATGGGGTATTTCGAAATATGACAATTATAAAAGGGGAAATGATGATACGCCAGTGTTTGGATATGATTTCATCCAGATCTTGGCATTCTTGGTAGGATCTGAACTGAAAAAGCTACTGCGCCTCTGAACTCATGCTGCCAAGGATGGTAACAAGTGGAAGCGGCGGTGGATTTTTTCGGAGGAATTGCGGTGTAAAAAGCCGGGCTGACTTGGGGCTGAGCCCATTTTCAGAGATCCATATCATGCCAGCATCAAGGTCTTACATTGTAAGTCTTGCATATTATTGTTGATGATCGATTTTTGACTTGTCAGGAAACACCAGGAATTTCTGCATATTTCTGCATATTTCTGCTGTTTTCCAATGAACACTTGCTCCCTTTTGTCTCTCAGACTTAGATCTCGGAAACCCTCCGCGTCCACGGCGTGTCCGGTTCGCGTTCTCTGAGGCACGGGAGGTATCCCATTGGGGAGCACCACGAGCGATGCAATTCCAAGATTTCACCATAGGAATTGTCCACTTCATGCACTTCATTCTTGGAACATGGAGATTTATGACCACCAATGGGCAACTATGGTCAAATTGGGAGTGACGCAACATTGTGAAGTCACAAAAACCACCTGTTTATGGTCTATTTAGCATGGAATACCATGCTGATCTGGGGCTACTTGCACCCCAATTCTTTGGACGCACCCATATCCCGATGATTGTTCATTGCATCCCTATTTTGTTGATTGCAAGTATAACCCAATTCTTCTTGGCTACATAACCCTTTTTCTTGCTGATTTCCCATGGTTTTGGTGGTTGTTGGTTAAGTTTTGATACATCTCACAGTGAGAAGAGTCTGCCTGGAAGGTGTACATTTTTATCCGGATGGCTGGAGGGTTGAGATGTAGGATTTGGCCACAGAATGGCCCGCAGAATCCGACAATAGCCAACTGTAGACCCACTTCTAGGGGTGGAAGCAGGTGTTAAGCCAATCCGCCAGCATGATTTGTCAGCTTTTTTGTGGGGTCTCCAAAAAAGACAAAGAGTCGAACTAGTATGGAATGGAACTCCAAATTACCCTTATTTTTGCCTGTTTCGGACACATCTGTAATGTCCCATTTCCATTGGATGAAGTCATTCTTGTGAATCATTTTCCAGTTTCAAGGTGTTTCTTTGAACATTTCTTGTCCCTCCCCCGAAATCTCTGGGATCGGGGCAGGTCATGAGCGGTTCGAGCCGGCGCCGACCTGGGCTCCGCGTGGGGGAACTTGGCAACATATCCCCCAAATCACATCAAATCACCACAAATAGCTGGTATAAATATGTATAAATATGCATATTTATACCATTCCCAAATGGGTGGTAAAAATGGCATTGTTTTAAAAAAACCACATGACATCATCGTTGTAGTTTGTGATTTGGGGTCCCCAAAATCACAAAACCACAGCATCTTCATCACCAGTTGGATGGTGTTTTCTCTTTTTTTTTCTGTCCGCCTGATGGGACCAATGATGACGACCATGCTACTGATCTCAGGCAGCCACAGCTCTGGTGCTGCCTTTAGCGCTGGGACTCGGCTTTGTGTCCGGTGCCCAGTCGTCTGGACAGCCCCTTAGATGGAAGCTGTTGCATCAGATTCCAGACAGGTAGTTTACATTAGTTTACCATTTTTGCTTGGAAATAACTGGAAGCCCATACAGTGTAATACAGTCTGCAAGGCGCAGGAGAACTGAGATGGCAATTCTTTGCATTTCTGTTAAGCAGAGAGAAAGAATCAACTCTTTGCAGAACAAGGTGCTCTAGTCAGGTCTGAGTTCAATTTTCAGGCCCGTTTGGAACCACAGAACTGGTCATTCTTACCAGAAACGGTCCCATGACGAATGTCACCCGCACCCCGTTGGCCATGTTGGCCTGCGACCCTGTCATGGTCGGCTTCCACGTTGCCGTTGCCAAGGAATTTTAGCACTCCCTCCACATCTCCAGTGACAAGGAGGAACGTCAAATGGTCGACCTGCCAAGAATCTATGGGAGGTGTGAATTTTGAATCCCTAAATCCGCACTTTGATCTAGGAATCTAGGATTTAAACTTGTTGTGGAGGTCCGGTTGTGGATGGAGGGATGGTATTCGTGCTGTTTTCAGCTGATTCTACAGTAGTCCGTTGCATCTTCCCAAGTCCCCGTACGGCCATGGCTCTTTGGCGCTGGCCCAAGCAGGACAGAGATTGATGCAACACAGTCGTTAGCTCAGCCTGTCAATGTTTCTTTGTTTCACCGATAGAATGTTGCCGGAAGCCCCCTCTATTGATTGATAAAACACATGATTTCCAGTAAAGTCCGTAAAGTTTTCCCATCTACCATGGAAGAAACTCCCACTTCCAAGGGCAAAATGTCAAAGTTTTGAAACCACTTGGGACCCACAGTCCTTTCTATCCATGAGCAGGGGAAACTGCGACTTCGGGTTCCTGTTGGACATATCATCCACAATTTTTTGTGTATGGTTTCTGCAAGGTACAATCTGCACCCCTGGGAGTTTATGCTTTAATCCCTTCACCAAACAAATCTTAGAAACAAATCCTTGGGGCTTTATCTTCAATACTGGTGATATAGTCTTAGGCTTTAGGATAATAGTTCGGACAATATCATTAACATCTCCAGTCTCTTAGGATACTATTCAGTGTTGGTCTTTGTTTGCAGCATGAGCATCGCATCACGACCGTCCGTGCTGGGATCGAGGTACATTCCCTTGAAGGTTGCCAGCTTTGCCATGGGCGCTCTGCGGCCATTCTTCCAGGTGCAGGTGCCATCCGATTCCACAGATTTCGGTGGTGAACAATTCGATCTCCACAAAGCAGGCTGCAGTGCTGCTAGCTGCCAGGCTTCCGTTCAAGCGGGCCGATATGACAAGTGGGAGGTGAGAAAAGAGATCGAGGAGGAGATCAAGTCGGTGCGGCTGGCATGTTCTGGCTCATTGGCAGGGATGAATATTTCCCATGACGTCAGGATTTATTTTGCATCACCATCACCACGTTCAAACGATGATGTCATACTTATAGCACTTGGGTTATGAGATTCAAGGTTTCAGTTAGATTAAACATGATTAAACATGATTAAACTTAAGAAGTTGCTTCTACCCTGAGCTGGGTTCCCCAACTGGCCCCGCCCCGTCGCCAGGCACCTGTGGTGATCTACACCTACGACTGGTCACCCTTCTCCAGCGAGGCGTTGAACATGGAATTGGTGGAGTTCTTTTTTGCAGAGAGTTTGCGGCCAGATTTTGGGGAACAATTTGTGATCAAACTGTAAGTGGGGGCTCTATTTTTTCAGATTTTCTTATTGATTGTTGGTTGGTTTTCACATTTTTCACAGTGAAAGTATACAGAGCTTTCCAGCTAGAGCTACAGGCCAAGAAGGTTCTCGACGCCATGGGGGCGGACTACAGAGAGGCCGACCCTGGTGGAGTCACAAAAAGGCATCTTTATTTTTTTAGGGGGATGGGAGGAGGATGAGGAGGAGATTCTGGTGATGGTGAAGTCAGCAAACATTGAATGAGCATGTGAATTTAGGGCCATTGAAGCAACAAACACTCTTTGATCATGTTTGATCCCGCTTCGATACTTTATCTCTTTGTCAAAATTTTAATTCTTATTTGTTCAATTTGCCCATAAACGCCTCATGGTCGCTGGTGAAATCCATGCTTTTTACCTGCTGGGATCGAGCAGCTTTGTCTGGTGAAACTACATGTTTAGGGTAAGTTCACAACTTTTGTAGGTAAACATTATCCTCTGTTGGGTAAAATCCCTTCTCTTTATATGTTTATAAAACCTCTTCTTGGATCTACTTTTATTATCTTTTATTGCCAAACTATATATAAACATCCATAAATGACTCAAATTCCACAATATCTTCTAGACTCTAGACAAAACAGCATCAACACTTGCTGAAGTGGGAGATTTGGCTACCTAAAATGATCTTTTCTGCTAACATTTACCATTTTCCCCTGCAAATTCAGGTGTCGCTGGGCGCCGAATGGTTCCTGGCCTCCCCACAGCAGGCAGCGAAGCGCGCGGAGTGCGGAGACCCGAGGTGATGGGGATGGGGAGATTTACTTATACATTATCTTATTATTATTATTATATTATTATTATAGTAAGATTGTCCAAAATCATGACTATTTTATAATATTTTATGTATGGGACATCAATTCAAATTCATCATTTTTTTCAATGATTTGGGGATGAGACTGTCGAGTGAGCTGTCTCCCTAATCATTCTATTGGTCTTGAAAATTGACAGTCTAACTGGGATACATGATATTATTTCCAATTGATGGGGATGTTTTTTTGTTGACAGTTGAATCATTTTAATGTAACCATTAAACATCGATGGATTAACCAATTAACCGATGAATAATGGATTTGGGGAGAGTTTTCACCAATAGACATGGTATATGGGTAGATTTTCACCAGTAATAATAGGGATAGGACGGGAGATTTACTGAACAAATGGGGTCTAGAAGTAAACAGTTTATGGTGATATCACCCAAAAAATGACTTGGGTTTGCCATTACAAATGGGGGATTGACACAACCAATTTGCGAGGATATTCAGCCAGCAAGCACCAGGGATTTAGCCAGCAAGAATTTTATTTACCAAGCATAATGAGGATATTTACTAAGCATTTTTTTTGGAGAGCCAACACGCACACACACAAAAGAATTGGGGCCAACAGGGGGGTTCTGGAAATTGGTTCAGGGGAAGATTTGAAGGAAAAAAACATGATGTGATGACAAACATTCTGTGAGAATTGCATTCAATCCATTGATTCACCAGCAAAACTGGGTTCTTGGAGGATTTTGATAGCGAAAACCAGAGGATTTTAACACGCCTGAGAATTAGCAACAGAATTGGATTTGACATGATTTGACCCAAACACCAGAAATTGAGCCACAAATGTGGAACCAAGAAACCTCGATCAACGAAGATTTCATCCGTGGCCGTAGAGGTTGGGAAACCTCTACGGGCGCACCAGCATGCCTCATGTCTTCATTGGTGGTCGTAGCGTCCGGGGCTTGGCTGGGAGGAGTGGCTGCCAAAACAGGGGGAAAAGAAGAATTTAATGTTAGTAAACCCCAGGAATAAAGCTGAAAAACCATCCCCAAGTCATCATTTTTAAGATAGTGATATGATGATATATGATCTTGATGGGCTCATCACCATCATCACCATCACCATCATCACCATCACTGATATGGTGTATATCTTTATGGGTGGTCACCATCCCCATGGTAGCCCCTAATGGCAGCTTCCCAGGTCGGAGGACTCATGGAAGGGGATCCAGGCCCAATCCTGGCGGGGCTTGGCTCAATGACTCTAAGTTCCTCCAAAGGTGAGAGCTCTGATTCTATCATCTGAATAGATTACCCTCTGGTTATGACTCACATAGCCATGGAAATCACCATGTTTAATGGGAAAACCATCTATAAATGGGCCATTTTCCATGGCTATGTTAAATAACCAGATGGTAGATGTTTGGAGATGATTCATCCAATTTTCTGTATTATTCAGATTATTCCATAGGAAATATCATCTGGAACATCATTATGGAATATATATATATATTCAAATATTGATCACTGTCTTCATCCACATTTCCCCAGGTTCTTCCAAGATTCCAATATGATCACTGTCATATTCCAATATTTTCATCCCAATTTCCCACCACTTCCCCAGGACAGCAGGACACCCAATCTGTGCCAGGATTGGTTCCCCTACAGGAGACGGGTGAGCTTTCTGACAGTCTGAAGCAGGCTGCGACGAACAAGGGCAACAGGAAACATGGAAAACTCAAGAAGTAAGCGTTAATAGTAAGATGAATATATTTAGCACTTCACTCTTGATCTATATTCGTCATTACTTTACAATCCTAGGAATTTAGGCTCTGTGATTGAGTTCACTGCAGTGCTCCAACTGGTGACAAAGATGATTTGTATGCACAAAGCTGGTGAAGTATGATGACCTTGGAGTTCGCCCAAAATGCGCCAACTATGCATAGGAAGTCGAGCATCTTCAGAATCAGCAGTTGGAAAGTCTCTTCCAAGCAACGGTTTGAGATCGCAAATCCTTTCAGTACCATCAGTTCAAGGCAGGTTTAACTCAGTCATGTCAGAGTCGAGGTATGCCTATATGCATCTGATCTGCATCAGAGAATCAGAGAATGCAGAGGTTTTTGTTCGAGAACAGAGGACCCACATGAACATATTTTTGTTGGGGCAACTTCCCCATTTTCAGACAGACCAATCTTTTGGGCTAAAACCAGTCAGATCAGAAAGGCTTCAGCACCACAGGCTGGAGCCCTTCCTGACGATGGGCTCTTTGGCTTCTTCTTGTACTCAGGCGTTGCATTCTGCGAATCGCCTGGGGTCATGTTTTTTTTTTGCGGAAGTTCAGTGGGATTGGTCATTTCGATGAACAAATGATCTTGTGAGTTGATCCAGTCTTGAATCATCTTGAGTCTTAGGCTGAACATCAATTGGTCAATGGGCCAAGCTCGCACTCCAATCAGATATCTTTTGGGTGTTCCTTCCTGGCCTGCGAGGTGACCATAGGCCCTGAGGAAGTTTTTGGACCAGCAGTTCTCACGGCTGGGCTTTGTGAAGATAGCTGGCTTCAGGAAAGATGGCTGGTCAAGTGGATGTGTCTTGCCCGAATCATGGCCGAATTGTGGCGTTTTCAAAAAATGTTTTTTTTTTTTTCGGGAGAGCAAGTGGCGCTTTGTAGAATTTGTAGACGTAGTCCAGTCACTTTACTAGGAAGGTGCAACTTCTGAGCTACGCAACTCACAGGCACCGTTCAAACAGAGCAGCAGTCCAGCCATCAGAACTGTTCCATGAACCTGGGCAGATTGAAGCATCTTTGCGCTGCACCGTTCTCTTGCGCGCACAGTTGTTCTTGTTTTTAAATTCATTGAACTCATCTTACAGTGTCTGAAGAAATCTTGTGGACCATCAACAAACAATTGAGACTTTGGAAGTTAATGGAAGTTGAGTAAGTCCCCATTGTTGGTGGGGAAATGACCGTTGTTGATGCTACGAGAATCCCTGGTGTTTTGTTGGAAAGGACACTGTGGGAAGGGCGATCCTCCCGCCCCTTTTGGGGCATCCAGTGCTCCTAACTTGGAGACCCATGAAACTCCACCCAAGTGATCAGTGGTGATCTGTGTACTGAAAAAGGGGAAAGCCATATATATCGATTTTGCGGTCAGTGATACCCCCAGATATCTTAAAAATGTGCTGAAGTTGTGTCTCCAACCAGTGTTCCACTCAGATTTTTTTTTTTTTAATACCCTCATGAGACATGCAGATTCCATGTTTTCCAGGTGCTGAGACAAAAGTCCATTACCAAGGTATGGGAAGAGTCCACAGGTAGGTCGCGAAGTCGCGCAGGAAAGTCTTGTGGCGATGCATCAAACTGCTTGGCCGGCTGAGCCGCAAGAAAAGAATGTGGAGAGAGTTGTGGGATATTCTGCATATATACTGTATATATATATATTTATGAATATGCACATCTATGATACACATGGGAACCACTGGACCACGATGTGTATTTTGTTGGAGCATAGCAGCATCTGCACAGGGAGCTGCATTAATCTCAGGACTGCAGATGATCTTTATATTATCTTCACTGTTGGTATTCCTGGGGACATACTGGGATTATAATGGGATGTAAGGGGTATAAAACTAAGCAACGGTTGGGATATTCCTTTCACAGCAATCACAGGATTTCAAAGTTTAGAGCAGTGGTTGTCAAGCCCTGCGATGATGTGGTTATCCACATCGGTGAACAACAAGACATGGCGTTAAATCACTTTCAAGCGGCTTTAGGATTGATGGTATAGCATCCAGACATGGTGATATCTGGCCTCAAAATCTTGGCGGCACTCTGCTTCTTGAGCTGATGCGTCACCAGATAAAGTAGTGGCAAAAGTCTGCAAGTCTTACGGCCTAACTCTCCTGACATGTAAAATCATCAGCATAGCCCAACCACCCCGCACTTGTTCTCCCAGATTTTTTGAATCTCAGTAAGTTATTTGACAGATCTGAAAGTCTGAAAGCAGGGAAAACTCCGTGTCACCACACCATTGAAGCCATGCTGGCTGCCCTTCGTTCGTCCCCTTGGGGCCTGCCTGCTCATGCAGCTTCTTGTACGGTTCCAAGTCATTGGTTGTCGGGGGATGTACCCCCAGCATTGACATGACTTGGCAAAGGAGCCCAGGACACTGACACCAGTGTCAATTTTAACGGGGAACATCATTTTCCAAACCATGGGGATTTTTGGGCACGCAATCTTTGGGCAAGCCCTCAGGATACTGGACATACTGGACTAAACCTGCAAAACCAGGCCACAAAATCAATGGACAAAGCCACAAGGGCTTGGTGTTTTCCTTACTGCTGCTAAACGCAGGGAATGGATGGGACTGGGGGAATGGGATGATTAATAGTGATTATGGATCATTCCCTCATTCCCTGCTAAGCACCAGTAAGTTTCAATACATTGAGAAAGGTACTGTAAATGATCCCTGTTGGACGAAGACCAAGTCCGATCCCTGTCGCATCGCGACGGAATGAGGTGAGGTGTTGGGCTTGGCAGTTGGCGGCCTCAGGGTCGTTGAAGGATTTTCCGACTTCAGCCCTAGCCATTGATCCATATTGATCCCATGGTTTTTCCAGATCTGACCACCAACACTTAACATATTTTGACACACTGCTGAGGCGCCTCTGCAGGCCCGTTGGGCCAAGAAGAGCAAAAGGAAAAAGAAACCGAAACGCGAAGATCGTACCGAGGAACAGAAGGTGTCCTTGGGGGGGTCCGGTTTTTTTGGAGGCCCCTGGGGGGCCTGGCCCTGCAGTTGTGAGTCAATTTGAAGGGCCAGAAAGTGTCAAGTTGTGTTAAAAGAAAAACTGGGCACAATTCAAAGGGGTTTAGAAGATAAGGGAAGAAGTGAGATTGAACGTGGAATGGAAACTGAGTCTGTGCTCTGATTTGTTGCGTGCCAGTGCATGTGGTTCAGGCTCTGATGGCTGAGACTTTCACAATTTCGCAGCAGAACTAGGGATCAATGATCCAAATCTATCATAATCATTCACAATCTATCCAATTTATATCCATGTTAATCTCATATCAATGTGTTTTTTTCTCAATTTTCTCCAACAAATTGACCAGGCCGCCTGCGCCGGTGCTCGCACGGATCGCATCTTCGACAACATCATGGAACCTGTGGCTCGGTCGCGGCAAGGTTGGAAGGTGATACTCAAGGGACAGAGGGAGATAGCCACAACATCCCAGAAGACCATTGGATTTAGTATGATTGAGTTGATTCTTGAAAGATTTCATCTTAGATCTCGGTAGATCTCTGATGAACATTTTTGACGACACGCTCATTCGCTCATCTTTTTAGCTGGGGTCGCCTATAGGACACGCCAGGGCCTGGGAAGAAGGGCGCGCTCCAGGCCGCTTTGTTCCCCATCCAGCTTCCTTCAACAACAAACATCCATACAGAAACCCTGCTTTAGCAGAGGATCTATTATGATCTATTCAATTCATTTGATTTCGGGGTGGGTGAGTTTCTACTGATCGAGGATTATTTGTGGTTTATGTATGAACATGATAAGAATCCCTCAGCGGTGGGATGTATATTCACCCAGGGAGTCCACTGATTTCGATTTGCAGAAGCCGCAACATTTTTGGTCAGAATCCACCAGACCTGTGTTGGTAAAGTGACTTTTCACACTGATGATAGTTGTCCAGGAATCCCACAATTTGCCACAGTTCTCACCCAGTTCAGCTATCATGCGGGTATGGGTCCAGTCATGTTGCGGTATTATCCCATGAATTTTGCATGTTCCCAGAAGATCCCCAGCTCTGCTACAAGTTCCTGGGACCGGAGCTTCCTAGGAGACGCCCTTCCACATGAGTCGCGTCATCCGCAAACACCTGCGGGGCTTGATGGCAGATGGCCGGCAGAACATCCGGCGGAAGAAGGCACGATCCTCCCAAGGTAAGATACAGACGACGGAAGAAATACTGCACCAGTTGATAGGTGGTTTATCCCATTCTTTATAGGGTTTCAACATGTTTCAACCATCTAATGTGGTGCAGGATTTCTTCCATCCACAGTATGTAACTTCAGTACTGGCCCGACAAATCATTTTGGGGACCCAGTCTGGCATGGGGTCTATGAACCATATGATTGCAAGGATGGGATGGTTTCTGAAGCATTACCGTCCATTATCATCCATCATTAAATCCATTTGAATCCCATTGAATCACCATTAAATCACCATAAAATCACCACTAAATCACCATGAAATCACCATAAAATCACCACTAAATCACCATTAAATCACCATTTGATCCAGGTTTAGGCTGGAGGTAAAAAATGCGACAGGACCTGGGCCGCTACACCCACTACCGAGTCTTGCGGATAGCGGGGCCAGGGGCTTGGACATGGATGATGACTGGATGATGACTGGGGGTAGTGCTAGGAATTCGGAAAGCCCTTCTGAAATTTTGTGATCTTCTCTGTCACGAAATATCGAATAATCAATATAATGGAGACGCGTGTTTTCCATGGAGTTTCTTGACCGCTTTGTTGATTTGGAAATTGAGCCATTTTGCTGCTAAGCAGCAGCATTTTGCTGGTCATATGGACAACTTCATTGCTTTGCTGCTCTCCGGTTGTTGCTCAACCTCCTCGCCTGTTCATCTTTCCATTTCGATCCAGTCGTTTTCTTGGCGCTCAGTGATACACCCCTCACAGACTTGCTTGAAGTGAGATTGTTTCAGGAAACTTCGAAAATTTCACATATAAAAACCCACCAGTTTCTGACACATTTCCCCTTGTAAAGCATCTCGCAAAGAGATGGATTCTAGTAATTGATTCCCAAGCTGCCAGGTGAGGGTCTCTAGATTTTCACAAAGGTGTGACGCACTCACTCCTTCCGTCCATTCATCCTTCACTCCTCGAGCTCCTTCTGCCCTTGTCATCGCTGTGGGCACCACGGGAACCCGGATGTCACAGCCATTGCCAGCTCAAGTGGAGTAATCTCGCTCCAGATCATGGCTCCACGGCAGTCCGAACCTGCGAGCTCCAGCTCGGGCACCCACCTGAACACATGACAGAAAGAATGTCAGAATACCTGCCAGAAAGAATGCCAGAAAGAATGTCAGAACAGATGCCGGTATGCCAGATAGAATGCCAAATAGAATGTCAGAGTAAATGCCAGAAAGAATGGCAGATAGAATGTCAAAAATATATGCCACATATACATCCAGATGATATGTCAAAAACTATGTCGGAATAATCTGTCAAAGTGGGGATCACTCGAAGTAAAGTTTCGCAATAAACTTCACCTCTTCTGCCTTGATCTTTTCGCTGCAGGCTCACGCACGACTACCCCAGTGAGAACACGGATCGCCGGGGCTTCCTGACTCCTCTGACGGAGTTGCAGGAACGAAGTGTGGGTGGTTCGATGTTTTTTGTGGTTTGAAACAAATGGGGGAGAACCCACTCGCAGCAATCTTTAGCATTTTCTCGATGTATCTTACAATGGCGATTTATGGGGAACTATGAACAGATGTGATATACCCCAATTTAGGTCATGCGTTTTGAGAACATGTATTTGATATAGGATGAATAGATGAGGTTTGTGAAACCATTGGATGGGTGGGATGAGGTTCCCTAACACATATTCCTGCAGAATTGTGCATTTCTTCCATGAAAACGGCAAAGGCAACGTCATACAACAAACAATCCTGTGGGTTTCAGAAACCATTTGTGATATTTGTTTTATACCGTCAAGATCATTGGTAAAGCATGGTAAACCCTAGGGATGTTGAAAAATCTTACCTGAAAATCATACCTGGTAGCAGGGCTGCCACCTGATCACCTGGTGTATCTCATGATCCTAAGCCCACTCGCAGGACGGGGCAACCTTGCCCCGTTCCATCAATCATCGTCGCTTCAACTATCCTCACACCTTGAGTTACAAGGCTGGGCTGCAGCTTCTTGGAACCAACAGCGGGAAAGGCAGAAAAACTTGAGTTCAGCCTTGAAGGTGAAAAGGTCCTGAACTTTTCATATCTTTTCATCCTGTCCTTCGCATGTAAGGCTTTGTCTGAAAATGGGCTACGCCTAAATTCCAAGGGAATTCTCATGGCAATAATATGGGGTATACCCCATTTTCAGACACACCAGAGGATTCTTCGCAAGGTTGCTGCTGGTTTCTGCTGTACCCAGCAACTTTTCTTCCATGCTACAGGTCTATTGGGGTCCACCCACCGTTCAAGATGAGCCTAACGAGTGAGCCGTGCGGGGCCGTGCCGTGCGCTTTGTTGTATGGCCATCGGCCCTGCAAGCCGAAAGAATTTCACACTTTGATGACCGAAGAGTGCAATCATTTTTGTAGCCATTCATCAACTGGAAGTTTTGTACATAATTCTACCGTACATATGTAATTATATACATATATATATATAAATAAATGAATAAGTAAATAAATAGATACAGATAATAAGTATACGGATGGGGCCCTAGGTTCTCCGATAGATGATAGGTGTTGATGATCAAACATGTGAAAATGTGCGTTTCGCCATAGCGAAACTAGCATTTTGACATAAGCATTGTTATGTAGAATTGGGCATCAAAACGGATGAAAAAAATCTCGTCCGTTTTGAGCGCTTACAAAGTTGTGATTTACTTGATATGGGTTAGGAGGGTATAGTTGTAAATCCCCTTATAAATACAGCACAGATACGTTGCGATGGTATGCAACATATGTTGAAACATCTCATTTTACCCTGTGTTTTCACAAGCAAAATAAAGGTAGCCTTATTTTACATGGTATTTGCACTACATTTGAATGTTGCTTGAAAGTGAGGAACCCTGACAGTCAGCATGTTTTTTGTTTTTTTATCTTTCGTGCATGTGTTTTCATTGTATTTTCCCAATCGAAACTCATGTGTGGTGAATTTTCCATGGTATTTCCCATATGGATTCAAGATATTCTTTTTGTGTCGACATCTGTGCTCATGACGAGGTTTTTTGTGGTAATTTATAATATGATCAATGATATTGTTGGTGATCACTCACTGTAAGAATGCATGTAGCTAGTTTTGTTCATAGTAATGGATCATCATTGTTCACTATTATACACTGACCATGGAGCATGAACCAACGATTGCTTGTCTTAATCCAAGTAATTCCTATAAATCATCATCAAGTAAGCGTTAATTATTTCTGTTATCACCATTTCTGTTAACAGTATACTGTATATATATATATATGTACATATGTATACATTGATATCCCACGGGGACCACCTGCGCATCACCTGCAACCAAAAAGATTGAACACGGAGCATCAACAACGTGATCAACATTCCACGAACGATAATACACCCCACCCCACCCTGCCCTGTCGCGGAGCATGATACAACGTGATCATCTGCAGCGGAGCATCAACAACGTGATCAACATTCCACGAAAGATAATACACCCCACCCCACCCCACCCCCCACCCCACCCTGCCTTGTCGCGGAGCATGATACAACGGGATCATCTGCAGCGGGGCAACAACCGGTGTGCGGTCATCGGAGAACCTGGGTCCCCGAGGGTATATATATATATATATGTATACATACATACATATTTGGATTCCAGCCTCATGTTTGGTCGGTTTCTTCGGAGTTCTGCCCCCATCATCATTTGGTGCAGGTACGAGGGATCTATGGTGGGCTGTACTGTGGCGGCCCGGTAGCCCAAATTAGGCAAATTATTTCCTACAAAGGGGTGACACTGGTGATTTTATTGTATTTTGCTTCTTGTTTTAGCCAATGTATGTGCCCTCTCAACGTATCTGGGATGCTGGGAGCAACTGTCATATGACCTACTGAGATGTACCTGCCGATTCCTTGGGCCAGCTGATCCTTGCGATAGATCCGTGTGATCCGTGTGGTTGTTGATCAATAGAGGCTCCTTGAGTGGATCGATTCCATAGCGCTTCGGTTGTGAGGTGCGTCTCTGTGACTTGCCATTGACACAACGGCAGGGATTCCAAGGGCTGGTGTGGACCACGTTTCAGAAGGAGATTCCTCACTGTTTCGTTGGAGTGTCTCCCTAAAGCGCCTGTACCAGCCTTGTCGTGGTTGGCTGTAGGGTTGTTTGCCCTGTCACTGTACTCATTGCGGAGAATCAAGCAGATTAAGCAGATCGTTACGATCTGAATCAATACCAATTTCAGGAGGGCGAAACCAGGTTCGACCTGTACATGTCCATAAAACACAGATTTTGGATAATTGCAGTAAGCCTAGCACTCATAGGGATTTTCTTCGATGACTTGGCTGTCCTTTGGGCAACTCTGAACACGGGATATCTGAAGATATCCGAATCAAGTCTCAATACATGATGTATTTCTTCTTTTTTCGAATACTTCAAATACTTGAATGAATAGAAAGTAAAGATTTAGAGAACCCACATAAAAGCTTAACGGCTCCATCCACTCTGGCAGCTGCAGTCATCACAAACGCATCAAGCGATGCCGCAGCGCTCTTGAGCTCGATTTTTTTCGCGATTCCAAAGGGGGATGGGCCCCAAGACTGCACAATTTATTTATAGGGAAAGCTTTGACGAACCATGGAATTTTGAACCTATTTTCAGACAAGCCCAATTTTTTCTGGTTTTAACCTCACTCTATCGGAGCACAAGTTTATTGCGAATCACTTCCTCCGAGCCGTAGCTATGATCGTGTTTGCAAGGATGCTTCACATCAAGCTTGCTTCGCTGAGCCGTTGCAGTGAGGTCTGATCCATCCCCCACAGTCCAGGATTTTGAGATTCTGGCAGAAAAAATGAATTGGACAAGGTTTTTTGAGGCCGGTGAGGCATCAATCCTTCTGAATCTTAGCAGCAACGCAAGTAGCCTGTGCTCTGTGGTTTGTCCCATGGGACAATGAAACTTGTGGCGGTGACAGCTCCGAAGTTCAAGATCAGCTCATAAACGCGCGGCAGATTTTTGCATAAGGAGCCTGGGGGCCACTGGAACTTTGAAGTGTCGCACGAAACGTCAAAGGCCCGGTGGCGCCCGGGGACAGGCGCATTAGCCGCTATATTGGTTTTTGAGTCTCTTGGTAAATGGGGCCAACGAGGTTCAGGTGGTGACAGCTCTGCAGTCCAAGATTGGGTCAGGAGTGTGCAGCTTATTCAGGTGATACATTCCAATGACCAGCCCAAGGGTATTCAGCAGGTTCAAGCCAACCAGTTTGCATTTGCTGCCATCCTTTCAGATTGTGGCGGTGACAGCTCCAAAGTTCAAGATCAGCTCATAACCGCGCGGCAGATTTTTGCATAAGGAGCCTGGGGGCCACTGGAACTTTGAAGTGTCGCACGAAACTTCAAAATTCCTGTGGCGCTTGGGCACAGGTGCAGTAGCCGCTATATTGGCTTTTGAGTCTCTTGGTAAATAAGGCCAACGAGGTTCAGGTGGTGACAGCTCTGCAGTCCAAGATTGCGTCAGGAGTGTGCAGCTTATTCAGGTGATACATTCCAATGACCAGCCCAAGGGTGTTCAGCAGGTTCAAACCAACCAGTTTGCATTTGCTGCCATCCTTTGAGATTGTGGCGGTGACAGCTCCAAAGTTCAAGATCAGCTCATAAACGCGCGGCAGATTTTTGCATAAGGAGCCTGGGGGCCACCGGAATTTTGAAGTGTCGCGCGGAGACTTCGAAATTTCTGTGGCGCCCGGCCAAAGGTGCAGCCGCTATATTGGTTTTTGAGTCTCTTGGTAAATGGGGCCAACGAGGTTCAGGTGGTGACAGCTCTGCAGTCCAAGATTGGGTCAGGAGTGTGCAGCTTATTCAGGTGATACATTCCAATGACCAGCCCAAGGGTGTTCAGCAGGTTCAAACCAACCAGTTTGCATTTGCTGCCATCCTTTGAGATTGTGGCGGTGACAGCTCCAAAGTTCAAGATCAGCTCATAAACGCGCGGCAGATTTTTGCATAAGGAGCCTGGGGGCCACTGGAACTTTGAAGTGTCGCACGAAACTTCGAAATTCCTGTGGCGCTTGGGCACAGGTGCAGTAGCCGCTATATTGGTTTTTGAGTCTCTTGGTAAATAGGGCCAACAAGGTTCAGGTGGTGACAGCTCTGCAGTCCAAGATTGGGTCAGGAGTGTGCAGCTTATTCAGGTGATACATTCCAATGACCAGCCCAAGGGTGTTCAGCAGGTTCAAACCAACCAGTTTGCATTTGCTGCCATCCTTTCAGATTGTGGCGGTGACAGCTCCAAAGTTCAAGATCAGCTCATAAACGCGCGGCAGATTTTTGCATAAGGAGCCTGGGGGCCACTGGATCTTTGAAGTGTCGCACGAAACGTCAAAGGCCCGGTGGCGCCCGGGGACAGGTGCATTAGCCGCTATATTGGTTTTTGAGTCTCTTGGTAAATGGGGCCATCGAGGTTCAGGTGGTGACAGCTCTGCAGTCCAAGATTGCGTCAGGAGTGTGCAGCTTATTCAGGTGATACATTCCAATGACCAGCCCAAGGGTGTTCAGCAGGTTCAAACCAACCAGTTTGCATTTGCTGCCATCCTTTGAGATTGTGGCGGTGACAGCTCCAAAGTTCAAGATCAGCTCATAAACGCGCGGCAGATTTTTGCATAAGGAGCCTGGGGGCCACTGGAAAATTGAAGTGTCGCACGAAACTTCAAAGGCCCGGTGGCGCCCGAGGACAGGCGCATTAGCCGCTATATTGGTTTTTGAGTCTCTTGGTAAATGGGCCAACGAGGTTCAGGTGGTGACAGCTCTGCAGTCCAAGATTGCGTCAGGAGTGTGCAGCTTATTCAGGTGATACATTCCAATGACCAGCCCAAGGGTGTTCAGCAGGTTCAAACCAACCAGTTTGCATTTGCTGCCATCCTTTGAGATTGTGGCGGTGACAGCTCCAAAGTTCAAGATCAGCTCATAAACGCGCGGCAGATTTTTGCATAAGGAGCCTGGGGGCCACTGGAACTTTGAAGTGTCGCACGAAACGTCAAAGGCCCGGTGGCGCCCGGGGACAGGTGCATTAGCCGCTATATTGGTTTTTGAGTCTCTTGGTAAATGGGGCCAACGAGGTTCAGGTGGTGACAGCTCTGCAGTCCAAGATTGCGTCAGGAGTGTGCAGCTTATTCAGGTGATACATTCCAATGACCAGCCCAAGGGTGTTCAGCAGGTTCAAACCAACCAGTTTGCATTTGCTGCCATCCTTTGAGATTGTGGCGGTGACAGCTCCAAAGTTCAAGATCAGCTCATAAACGCGCGGCAGATTTTTGCATAAGGAGCCTGGGGGCCACTGGAACTTTGAAGTGTCGCACGAAACTTCAAAGGCCCGGTGGCGCCCGGGCACAGGTGCATTAGCCGCTATATTGGTTTTTGAGTCTCTTGGTAAATAGGGCCAACGAGGTTCAGGTGGTGACAGCTCTGCAGTCCAAGATTGCGTCAGGAGTGTGCAGCTTATTCAGGTGATACATTCCAATGACCAGCCCAAGGGTGTTCAGCAGGTTCAAACCAACCAGTTTGCATTTGCTGCCATCCTTTGAGATTGTGGCGGTGACAGCTCCAAAGTTCAAGATCAGCTCATAAACGCGCGGCAGATTTTTGCATAAGGAGCCTGGGGGCCACTGGATCTTTGAAGTGTCGCACGAAACGTCAAAGGCCCGGTGGCGCCCGGGGACAGGTGCATTAGCCGCTATATTGGTTTTTGAGTCTCTTGGTAAATGGGGCCATCGAGGTTCAGGTGGTGACAGCTCTGCAGTCCAAGATTGCGTCAGGAGTGTGCAGCTTATTCAGGTGATACATTCCAATGACCAGCCCAAGGGTGTTCAGCAGGTTCAAACCAACCAGTTTGCATTTGCTGCCGTCCTTTGAGATTGTGGCGGTGACAGCTCCAAAGTTCAAGATCAGCTCATAAACGCGCGGCAGATTTTTGCATAAGGAGCCTGGGGGCCACTGGAACTTTGAAGTGTCGCACGAAACGTCAAAGGCCCGGTGGCGCCCGGGGACAGGTGCATTAGCCGCTATATTGGCTTTTGAGTCTTTTGGTAAATAAGGCCAACGAGGTTCAGGTGGTGACAGCTCTGCAGTCCAAGATTGCGTCAGGAGTGTGCAGCTTATTCAGGTGATACATTCCAATGACCAGCCCAAGGGTGTTCAGCAGGTTCAAACCAACCAGTTTGCATTTGCTGCCATCCTTTGAGATTGTGGCGGTGACAGCTCCAAAGTTCAAGATCAGCTCATAAACGCGCGGCAGATTTTTGCATAAGGAGCCTGGGGGCCACTGGAACTTTGAAGTGTCGCACGAAACGTCAAAGGCCCGGTGGCGCCCGGGGACAGGTGCATTAGCCGCTATATTGGTTTTTGAGTCTCTTGGTAAATGGGGCCAACGAGGTTCAGGTGGTGACAGCTCTGCAGTCCAAGATTGGGTCAGGAGTGTGCAGCTTATTCAGGTGATACATTCCAATGACCAGCCCAAGGGTGTTCAGCAGGTTCAAACCAACCAGTTTGCATTTGCTGCCATCCTTTCAGATTGTGGCGGTGACAGCTCCAAAGTTCAAGATCAGCTCATAAACGCGCGGCAGATTTTTGCATAAGGAGCCTGGGGGCCACTGGATCTTTGAAGTGTCGCACGAAACGTCAAAGGCCCGGTGGCGCCCGGGGACAGGTGCATTAGCCGCTATATTGGTTTTTGAGTCTCTTGGTAAATGGGGCCATCGAGGTTCAGGTGGTGACAGCTCTGCAGTCCAAGATTGCGTCAGGAGTGTGCAGCTTATTCAGGTGATACATTCCAATGACCAGCCCAAGGGTGTTCAGCAGGTTCAAACCAACCAGTTTGCATTTGCTGCCATCCTTTGAGATTGTGGCGGTGACAGCTCCGAAGTTCAAGATCAGCTCATAAACGCGCGGCAGATTTTTGCATAAGGAGCCTGGGGGCCACTGGAACTTTGAAGTGTCGCACGAAACGTCAAAGGCCCGGTGGCGCCCGGGGACAGGTGCATTAGCCGCTATATTGGTTTTTGAGTCTCTTGGTAAATGGGGCCAACGAGGTTCAGGTGGTGACAGCTCTGCAGTCCAAGATTGCGTCAGGAGTGTGCAGCTTATTCAGGTGATACATTCCAATGACCAGCCCAAGGGTGTTCAGCAGGTTCAAACCAACCAGTTTGCATTTGCTGCCATCCTTTGAGATTGTGGCGGTGACAGCTCCAAAGTTCAAGATCAGCTCATAAACGCGCGGCAGATTTTTGCATAAGGAGTTTGGGGGCCACTGGAACTTTGAAGTGTCGCACGAAACGTCAAAGGCCCGGTGGCGCCCGGGGACAGGTGCATTAGCCGCTATATTGGCTTTTGAGTCTTTTGGTAAATAAGGCCAACGAGGTTCAGGTGGTGACAGCTCTGCAGTCCAAGATTGCGTCAGGAGTGTGCAGCTTATTCAGGTGACACATTTTGCATTTGCTGCTATCCTGGACGGCCGGGACATCACTGGGGGCACTGCAAATCGTGATGGTGAAGCTGTCTGACATCGGTTGTGGAGTTTAGAGCATCTCTTACTGATGGGTTGTGACCTGGGGTAGTCCCGTTGGTGAAAGCTATGCTGAAGCAGCTTCAGGCCACAATCCTACCAGATGAATGATACGCTAAGTGGGGCATGCCAAGCAACGGTGGTGACAGTTGAGTTTGGCGTGAGCTGTTTCTTACAAATTGACGTGCCACTGTGATGCTGTTTTCATTGGACGTGGCCATCGACAAGGTAACAATGCAACATTGAAGCTCAGTACATGATTGAAGCTGGAAATTCAGAAAGCAGATCAGCTCACGGGTATCTTCTCAAACGATTGCCAGCAGGTTGAAAAGTTGCATGGGCCGGAGGTTCCATGATCAGTTTTTCGAGTGCGATGCTGGCCGACACAGGTGCCACGTTGTTGGATGGTTCTGTTGGCATCTTTTGTGGCCATTAATGAGCTATACAAACTCAAGATGGGTCACTCTGTTGGGTAGATAAAGCCAGATGCCTGACGTCAGAGAACGAGCAATTAATGTGCATTGTTTGACTTCCACATACTACTGGATAATCCAATCCTTCACATTTGCTGCCTTTGAAACAATTTGGATTTGGAAGATTAGAAGGACATCTAGCATTGTGCATGGGAAAATCAGCAATTTGCCGATGAAGTTGAACATTCAGCATCTGAAATCTCCCGAGTTTTCTCAAGATGTTTTTAATGTTTCAACTTTTTCCGATGTTTTTTTCCAACCTTGCCCAAAGTTTTTTCCCATGGAAGTGCCATTCTTGTTGCGGATTTCCCTCTTTTTTTGAGGCAAAAGGAGCGTTTGGTGGATCTGGTGGGCATGGAGCGAATCTGTGAGGTGCTAGTCGCTCCAGCTGCCAGGGGGTTGGACGATTACTTTTCATTACTTTTCACTGAAAAAAATGGGCAACTTTCAGCGTTGATGTTACCCTCCGGTAACGTGGAAAATCTCTGACTTCGATGGTTTTCCCAGAAATTTCCGAGATTTTCCACGGAGTAGCGGTTCTGGGTAGCAACATCGGAGATTTCACCACACATGAGTTTTTTCAGCAGCAAGCCATGGAGGTTTTTCATCAACACTGGCCAAACCAACAGGATCCAACGTGGGACTTCACCACCTGGTTTTGACCCACTGCCATTTAGCACCCAAAGCTTGGGAGATTAAGATGAGCCGCTCGATGAGAGTGGGCTTGTCAAGTTGTCAATGCCTCCAGTGCACACATTCACAGCGAATTGTTGGTGTCAAAATTTAAAGACGTTATGATAGGTCATGATTCTGGACAGAGTCCTTGGAGTGGTCAAAATGCAACTCGAACCACCCGAGTTTCAGATCTTTTTTGGGGATGCTGCGCCGCATCTTCCGGATTCCGTTGTGCCCAGAAAACTGGTGTCTTGACGCTGAAAGCCGACTACTTTCCGGAGAGGACAGGTGTGGGAAGGTTCTGCAGCAATCTGTGAATCCTAGGATGGTCAAAAAATCCCAGTGGTTGGGAAATCTGACAGGCTGTGAAAGTTCCATCTAACACATACTGCTCTAAAGCTCGTTGGTGTATAACTGGAGCAGCTCAATATCAGCATTGTTTGGAAGTTTCGAAACTTGACAAAGATCCAGAGCCAGAACTTTCACTGCTTGGTGCTTCATTTCCATTGAGATCGGTGGGCTCCAGCCAAAAGTCGGCCAACAAAATCCAACAAATAGGATCAACTGAGTGACTTTCGCCGCTGGTTCAATAGATGACCCAGTGAGAAAATCTTCTTGATACTGTAATTGATACTATCAACAGCACCATTCTTAGGGGATGAAGTTATCGTTACACAAAACAAGAGCTGTTGATTATGCATACCACCTCAAAGAGACGAAACATAGTGGCACTGGCACCCGTTGTTGGTGAAACTCCCCATTTTTGGTTTGTGAAACTCTCCGTTTTGTTGCATTTTTTTTTTTGAACTCTCCACTTATTGCTTCATCCAAGCCATGTTATGTTTGAGAATCCCCCCCAAAAAAACATCCTGAATGTCCAGTTCAGCACCTTTGTCGTTGGATCGCCAACCAAGCCAAACAACGCAGCAGGAATCACAACGCTGCACTACTGGGTGACATGCTTGAGCAGCTGATGCGGGAGGCAATGGAAAAAACTCTGTCTGCAGGCTGTTCGTTTCCCGAAGAATGATGAACTGGGATTTCATTTTGTGGTGATTTATATAACCAAGATCAAACGGGGTTTTGGTGGTATAGTTAACGGTCCCCCTGTCATATAGTGTGATACATTCTTTGTGACGCTAGCTTCTTTGCTTAAGGAGTTCAAGTGTAAGGTGCCAGCGTTCCCTGGCTCGCTAAACTGCTCATTGGGGAGCTGGTGTGGTTCTTCTCTTGGGAAGATCCCTACCATAAGTCTCTCCCTTGGGTGGTGGACGCGATGTCAGGTGAGCGTCTGGCGCCATGGAGAAAGACAGGCCGCAAAGCTGATCAGCGGCACTTTGAAGGGCTGGAGATGGGCTGTCTTCTCGAAATGGCGGTGTATGACGATAGGAATCGTCCCCAGGGTAGAGCCTTGGCAGCGGTGACTGGTGCAGCCCTCGAGACCTACATCAGTGGCGGCCGGGTTTTCGAGTGCCAGATGTTGGCCATAGAGGATGGCTATTACCTGTACTGGTTCGAGAATGAGTATGGGAAGCTGACGGATAGTCCTGCGGTGTTTGTGCACTTCTGCGACGTGCCAGTTGGAGGTTGCAGGAGTGAGACCGCCTTTCGGAATCCAATTCATGTGGACGTCTTCAGGTTGGTCACTTCGGCCCAGGCAGAACGACTTGTATGGTTGACGGCTGACCAGAAGGCCTTCGTTGCTGCTCATCCTGCGGTTGTTGGGGGGAAGGATGTCCCTGGGGGGGGAGCTGTTTCCACTCCTGGGGCAAACCAACCTCCCAACGCCTTGGAAGGAGCGGTGGTGACGGGGCAGCCTGGCATCGAGGGGCTTGCCCGGGCATTGGGCTCCGGCCAGGGGGCTGACAAACGCCCTGCCGATCGTGAAACAGAGAGCCCTGCCAAGAAGGAGAGGAAGAAAAAGAAAAGGGACAAGATCGCCGAGAAGGCCCGTAAGCGCTCTGAGAGTGAGGAGGAGACCAAGGATCAGCCTCATTGCAAACAGAAGAGGACTGAGCGCAAGGAGAAGAGAGCTGAAGAGGGCGATTCCCTTCGTGAGGAGCTCACCAATAAGGCTCCACCGGAACCACGACTGTCAGCTTTGGACCTTCCTCAGAAAAAGAAGAAGAAGAAAGAGGACAAGAAAAAGAAGAAGAGCCGCAGTTCCAGCAGTGACTCCATCCGTCCACGCAGTCCCTCGTCGAGTTCAAGTTCAGGGCTGCTTTTTCATTCAGCCGCCCTCCCCAGAGGCATGGAACGCCTCAGACGCCTGCATCAAAAGCACCCGGGCAATCTGGCCTCGGTGACCCTCTTGAGGATGCAGGAGTTGGTGCATCGAGCACAGGGGAGGGGATCGGCGGAGAACAACGCAGAGAAGCTGCCTCCAGTAGCCATGAGTTACGTGGCGGGCGTGTTCCTGGTGCAAAATCCACCGGCTCAGGTGGGAGTCTGCAATCTGAGAGAATTGAAGACAGTGGCCACAGTGATCGACATGCTGTGTCAGAACGACGCACCAAGGGCCCTGGACGTTTTGGTGCAGCGCCTGAAGGCACTCGAGCTGGCGCACAAGCAGCAGGGATGGGCTCAGGCGTCGCAGCTGGAGTTGGTGTAGGACGACGACCTGACAGCAGTGTTCAGACCAGAGCTGAAGGCGGCCCAATCCGAAGTGAAGGAAGAGATGAAGATTCAAAGAGGCCCCTTTCGCCCCCAGCGGCAGCAGACCACGTGGACCCCGACATGGACGCCCAAGACAGGGGACACCGACGCAAAAGGAGAAGACGCCGAGAAAGATCTGCCTCCAAACAACCAGCCGAAAGGAGGGGGCAAGAAAGGGAAAGGAAAGGGGAAGAAAGGCCGCTTTGGTCGGAGGTGAACATCGTGGATGGCCGGCTGCAGCTGCCTGCTTTACAGAGAGCTCTGGCGGGCGCACAAGTGCAACCAGCGGTGGAACAGACTTTTGAGGTGCTCCTGAACGATGAGAGGCTCCACCATTTGTATGGGGGGATCCTCCAATGTTATGAGAGCCTGGCTGACCGTCAGAAAGTTTACCAGGACTTCACCTCGCTGATGGTGGAATGGTGTGAATTTCCAGCGGATACCATCTTGAAGTTGCTGGAGAATTACTACCGCCCACTGGCCCGTGAGGGGGGCGCCCTGGGAGATGGAGCTTTCCGTCGAGTTGCAACAGTCGTGCGCCCAGAAGCTCGACGTCGGCCAGGCAGATATCAGAGGGCGTGTGAAGGCAAGCTCCTTGGTGTTGTGGGCTCCACTCAAATCAGAGAGATCTATACTGGATGGGATGCATCCGATGGAGGTGTCAATGTTGGTGATGGCAGCGAGTTCTTCCCCACATCCATCTTCAGGGAGAACTATGCTGACAACATTGCAGTCCAGGATGCAGCTCAGGCCCTAGATGGACGCCCCCTCTATGTTGATCCAACGGGTTTTGATGTGGCTGCAGCTGTGATCGAGCAATTCAGCATCACGGGAAAAAGGACAATTTGGTCGTGGAGGGATTGCCAGAACTTCATGGCAGCACATTTGGCTGACGAGGTGCCTGTCTCTTTTGTCGGGGTGGTGCTGAAGATGGTCATTGAGCGCTGCCCCGGGCACTTGGGAAATTTGACTCGAATGGTGCCCTGCTGCGCTAGACGGCACTTTAGGCAGACGCCTGTCGAGCTGCTGCCAATTGCAGTCCCACCGGATAGCCAATCTATGCTCAGGCTGCAGCGACTGTTGTTGGAAAATGACAAGCCACGGGCGCTGACTGCAGCTGAAATGGCCCAGGCCTTTGATCTTTCCAAGGAATGTGGCATCGATGCATGGCTGAGCTTAGTCTTGGTCGTGCTCAACGCCATGTTCTGTGGAGGATCTCGGCCGCTGGGTCGCGTGATGCCGCATCCCTTGCAGCACACTGCAGAACAGAAAAAGACTGTGGATGACTTCAAGAAACTGGTGGCACCGTGGATTGAGGAGGACGACCACCGCATCAAGGCCACAAACTGGGAGGTTCAATCTCAGGGGCTTGGTGACTTCTACACTGGCTATGAGGTAACCAAGGCCTACAAGCTGACGTGGGCAGCGATTGCCCCTCATGTTCCTGGAGAAGGTGAAGCTGGCAGGGTGTCGCTGGAAGAAACAGTGGCACCGGAGCTGAAGGAATATGTTCGGGATCCGTCTTTGCTCAGAATCCCTGACGACGAGTTGGGCGATGTTCGACATTCTGCCCCTGTGCTTGTTGAGTCAGATTCTGAATATGATGTCATTGTGAAGAATCTGGTGCTGGCCGGGATGATGGAACGGGAAATTCCCTCTGAGACAGCTACGGTCAATGGGGCTGCTGTGACCAACGGGCTTTTTGGAGTCCATAAAAGTTGGGTCGCTGATGACAGCGGTGGCTGGCGGCGGTCTTTGAGACTGATAGTGAACTTGATTCCCACAAACATGCTGCAGCGCCGCATGCCCATCCAGTCGTCAAAGGCTATGGGGTTTGCTCCGTTGTGGGGCCAGATGGTGTTGTTAGAAAATGAGGTCATCATGGCGTATGGAGAAGACATTAAGCATTGCTTTCATGTGTTCTCCCCCGGCCCACTTTGGCGCGGATACTTTGTGATCTCCAAAGAGGCAAGTGCCAGCTGCTTCAACGACGGGCTGAAAGAAGCAGCCAGACCTCGGATTCGTTCAGCGCCGATGGGATGGTCAAACATCGTGGACTTTGTGCAGTCCTCTCTGGAAAAGATGGGAACCTTAGCAGGAATTCCAGCTACCAGGTGTGTCAAAATGGGTGAACCATCTCCACTGCTCGAACTGACTACACCGCGGCAGTACCACAGCTTCTATGTGGACAACTACGATGGATTCGTGGTGATCGCCCGCACTGCTTTGGGTGAATATGAAGGGCGCCCCTCTGACAGCCAGCTGGCGTTGAGACGCACCTTTGAGGCTTGGAGCATTGGAAGAGATGAGCAGAAAGCGGCTGAGGGCACCCTGCAGTGGACAAGTCTTGGTGCGGAGCAACTTGGAGAAGAAGGCTTGGTGGGGAGCTCCCGAAAATTTCGAAGAGCTGTGATGGCGTCCTCGCTCCACATGCTGATGAAGTCAGACATGAGATGCTGTGATGTGGAGTTGCTCTCGCTGGTGGGCAAGCACATGCATGCGGTGCAGTACTGCCGCCCTCTTGCCTGCTGCTTTGATGAGCTCTATCGAAATCTCAGCCTGGATGATCCCGAATTGCTGGTCGATCTCAGTGCCTATGAGGAGCTCCTTATGCTGACTGCCTTGTTGCCCATGCTATGGTCCAGCCAGCGGTCGTGTTTGAGCCCTACGGTATATGCTACAGATGCATCTCCTGAGGGAGGAGGAGCCTGTCAGACCATTGGGCTTTCATCACGGGGCCGTGCAAAGCTCCACCTCGTGTGCTCAGAGCAGGATGACAAAGAAGGTGGGGCCTGCGACTCCATTGTGCTGGTGGAGATGTTTGGAGGCATTGGAGGCCTGCGCAAGGCAATTGAACTGTTGGGCGTTTTGCCTCAGGGGATCATTCTGGTTGATTCTGACCCAGTCTGTCAGAAGCTGGCCAAACGCCACTGTGCCTTTGTGCTTGTTGTCGACAACGTGCGCAAGGTGGATCAGGCAATGGTGAAATCGTGGCGTCTCCAGTTTCCACGGGCCACAAAAGTGCTGGTCGGCGGAGGATGGCCTTGCATCAACCATTCTTCGCTCAACAGCAGCCGCAAAGGTGCTGAAGCCGACTCCTCTCGACTTCTGGAGGACATGTTGGCCGTGGCTGCAGCATTGAAAACGGTCAGCCGGGCCCTACGACTTCCTGACTGGGATCAAGAGGACCTGACTGTCCAGTCTGGGAAGATCGGTTCACTCCCACTGATGAGTGAGGCAGCCGATGCCTTGAGGTGCCGCCGACCCAGGCTGTTTTGGATAAAAGGCCTCCCTGTGATTGAGGGCGATGACCTGAGTTTGCTCCCAGATCAGCAAGTAGGAAATCTGACCACCAAGCTGACCGTGGCCAAGATCACCCTCCGCTCGATTGGTTTCTGAGGAGGAACTGCAGCAAGCTGGTGGATGATAACAGGCCTTTCTTTACCTTTGCCAGGCCATTCCCGCGGTCAGAGCCACCACAAGACCCGGCTGGGTATGACAGGTGCGACACGAAAACTCTTGGTCGCTGGCGAGGAGACGCCTACCGCCTTGCGCCTTATCAATACTCTGAGGACAACCTTGTCCGAACACCCCAGGGCCCTCGTCGGTTGCTGTCAGATGAGCAGCTCCGCATGCTGGGGTTCAACTCAGACGCCCTGGACCTGAAGCAGAAGCTTACAGAGGATCAGCGTGGGCAGTTGATTGGAAACACGTTCCCAGTCTTGGTGGTGGCTCGCCTGCTGGCTGCACTTTGCATCACCAGCGAAATGGTTGCAAGCACAGACCTGACGGCTGAACTCTGGAGGATTTGGAAAAACAATGAAGACAGAGTGCAGCAGCTCAAGGAAGCGTCATGGTCGACACGGTTCGGGCCAGGGGCCAAGGGGGCGGTGCGTGGTCTCCGGCATTGCCTCGGCACACCTGGGGATCGCTCATGTTCTCCGAGGTCCCTGCTAGATCCCGAATGCAGCCCTGAGTGATGAGCAGTTGCTGATCTACCTCATCACACGCAATGTTTCACATCGTGGCACCGACGTGAAGTTGGACCATGGAGTACCTTTTTCGGCAAGTGACTTTTGCCGCCGTTCAATTGATCCCACCCATTGGGAGTGGAAGGTTGTACTTTCATACAAGTGGAAGCAACCCAATGCCCATATCACCCAGCTGGAGACGGTCGCAGTTTTGGACCTGATGCGCAAGCTCAGTCGCTCTGCCTCAAACTTCAACAAGAAATCTCTGCTGCTGGTCGACAATGCTTCAGTGGTTGGAATCTTGACAAAGGGAAGAACAAGTGCCTACAGTCTCCGGCAGCCTCTTCGTCGACTAGCTGCAGTGCTGGTTGCTACATCATCACGCTTCATTGTGGCCTGGGTTAAATCTGAGTGGAACCCCGCTGATGGCCCTTCGAGGTGGGTCAAGAAGCGGGCACTGCGTGATGCCTAAGCGACGACAGGTGTTGGGAAAAAGGACCCGGGCTGAAAGGAAGCGTGAATGAAAGGCATTGGGGAGACTAAAGTCACAAGTTGTATCACCTAAGACTGAAGCTAGATATGAGGCAAGTGTTTCACGATTTCTTGAATTCCTAATTGCGCATGGGAAACCCTATCCACCGTCCTTCGTAATTCTTGATAGGGAAGTTTCACTCTTCATTGAAGAACTCTGGGAGCAGGGCGACCCCAAAGGCTGGGCTGGTGACTGTTTGAGTGGTTTGGGTCACTTCATTCCACCCTGCAAACCTTTCCTAGTTGGTGGTTGGCGTCTTCATGCTGCTTGGGGCCGTGCAGAACTCCCATGTCGGGCACCACCTTTTACGCCACTCCTGCTATATGCTGTTGCACAGTCGGCAGTTGACCATGGTTGGGTGGATCTGGCAGTCCTTCTTATCCTTGGGTTCCATACCTTTGCAAGGGCTGGCGAATTGTTCCAAGCAAAAGCAGGCAACTTCGTCCTTGGCCAACGTTCGGGTACATGGACTCTCCCTTTGTCAAAGAGCGGCCAGCGACAAGGCGTGACAGAAAGTATCCTTTTGACTGACCCCTTTGTTTTAGTTTTGTTGCGCAATTTTGTTAAGGATTTGGCGCCTGGGGACTCACTGTCTTTGGTTTCGGGGGGAACCCAACGAAAACGTCTCAATGACTTGCTGTTGGGCCTTAAGATTTCTTTCCCCTTTCGATGGTACAGTGTTCGCCGGGGAGGGGCCACTCATGCATATAGGACTTCCAACAATATTGCTGCCATTTGTGTAAAGGGGAGATGGAGTAGTGTCAAAACTGCTCGTATTTACATTTCTGATGCAGTTGCACAGTTGACTGAACTTAAACTTTCGGATTCTCAATTGCGTAAGCTTCGCCATTTGGCCACCAAATGCCGACCTTCATTTGAAGCGGCTGTTGTTTAAACTCCCTCCACTCCCTAACCCTGGCTCTTCTCCACCTGATCTTTCCCGCTTGAGCCAAGCTACAAACACTCGCGCATTGGCGCAAAAACGGGGAAGATGGTACATGGGGCGTGTCTGTGTATTGGCATTGGCCAAAGGGAGGCAGACACAGGTGGCTTCGGGTAAGTGATTGCGCTGGGGGTGCTAAGGGAACCTGGGAGGCTCCAGACGTCTGGTGGCACTAGATGTTCTTGGTGTTTCCTGTTGGGTGTTCTCTTGGTGTTCTCTTTATTTATCTCTGAGATGTTTCATCTCTTAGATCAAAACCGCCTCTAGCGCAGCTGCGTCACTAAAAAGGGGAGTCACTTGAATGTTGAACACTAGTTAACGGTCCCCCTGTCATATAGTGTGATACATTCTTTGTGACGCTAGCTTCTTTGCTTACCCACCACCATCCCCTCTGCGCCACCACATAGGGGGCCCTGTGTACTTTGTCTGCGTGTCTGTGTATTGGCATTGGCCAAAGGGAGGCAGACACAGGTGGCTTCGGGTAAGTGATTGCGCTGGGGGTGCTAAGGGAACCTGGGAGGCTCCAGACGTCTGGTGGCACTAGATGTTCTTGGTGTTTCCTGTTGGGTGTTCTCTTGGTGTTCTCTTTATTTATCTCTGAGATGTTTCATCTCTTAGATCAAAACCGCCTCTAGCGCAGCTGCGTCACTAAAAAGGGGAGTCACTTGAATGTTGAACACTATAAATTGGTTTATACCGGAGTTAACCAACCACTTTATTCTGATGCAATGGGATTTGATTATTTTTCATGGGATAAATGGGATTTCTCCAGCATTTGCCTGGGCTGAACCAATGTATGACAGGTAAATAGCAGCTGCTGCCACACTGTCACAAGGTGGAGGAAACAGCTCACCTATTTAATTATCTACCTAGTTTTTTCCCCTGTTGCATCTGCGGTGTTGGGAGCGAGCCTGAGTTCGATGCTTAAGAAATGGGCTTCATTGGGTTCAACCAGAAGCAAGAAGCAACAAAGTGAGGGTTTGATCGGGGTTGAACTTGCCCCAAAATTTCGGAGGATCTTCTCATATCTGATCCACAAATCAGATGGGCCAGATGGGTATGGCTCAGATCATGTTTGGGTTCCAGAATGGGATCTGCAAACCGGCTCACCTGACTTTCCGACGATCTGGGATTCCAACCTCAGGCGACAGTGCCCAACAGATGGGGATTCTACCGCCAGCTTTTAAGCCAAAGCAACGATCCTACCACTATGGCGTACGAAATGGGGTATGGGTCTAATTTTTTTTCACCTAGAAATGGGTTCTATTTTTGGCAAAGGACAGCTTTGCTATGTTTGTTCAGTCCGACCCCATCCATAGATGTCCTTTTCCACTGGTTGGTTGATTTTTCTCGAGGGATCACCTGGATGCTTCACAAGCTTCATTGGTCAATATGATCAATGGTATGCTAGTCAGTCCCCACAACATTATTCCCACAACGGAATTGTTGGTGACACATTCCCATATCATATTGTTGCTTAGTCATTTCCTGTGGACATATATCAGGATTATCAAGATATCCCAGCATATATCCATAAAACTGCTTGGTTTATATGCCCAGAATGTTTTTTTGGAGATCCCTCTGTGTTGATCCTCATGGCTTCACATGATGATCTTACCACTCAGCCAGCTGCCAGGCTATGCGCGCAGATGATCCTGTTCCTGCTGCCTGCCCCTTAGTGTAGTGGGTGACCCTGACCTTGCTGCACCAGCGTTGAACTCCTTGAAAGTGGTCCGGTGCTGGTGGGTTTTTCAGGGTTTAGATGTTGTTTTTATACGGAGAGCACCGTTTTTCTCAGCAGTTAGTCTTGGGTTGGCTGGCCCTGGGTCTGAAGAGAATGTAAAGTGCCACCAAGATGGGTTGCAATGAGGATGACGACGCTTGCAGCGATTGTGATTTTGCTAGTTTCATTTTCTTAATATTTCTAGTATAATGGCGACGATGACCGCATTGATGCCACTGTGTGCCCGAAATTGCCAATTATGATAATTATCTAGCTAAGACGAACACATCTGCCCAAATTCACACGGTGTGATTTATTGGTATGGTTCAAATTTTGGGAGGTAAGGCCTCCAGATTCGTTCCGTTTCCTTAGTTCCATTTTTGGGTTCCCAATTTTGATCCGTACCTTCAGCAAGCTTCATTCCAACCCATTTGCCGCTTCTCACAGGTGATCGAATGAGCTCTCAGCCTCTGTAGAGACAAGGTGTGTAGTCTACAGGTCGAGCCGGTTGTACAAATTAGCCCGGGATGGGTAAAGTTCTAACCTCTGCCAAGGGCACAGAAAGATTTGGTCCCTTTTTGGTATCAAACCTGAAAATCATATTCCTTTTCTTGGTTGGCATATGACATCTTCATGTTTGTTGATCAACTTCCCCTAAAGTTTTCTTTTTTGATTCCTATCTTTGTTGATCGCTTTGCAGATTTATTGTTTTTCAAAGATGGTTGACGTTTATCTTTGTTGATGGACTTCACGTTTGTTTAGTATGATTCAACGATCCCTTTTGGGGCTCCATTTTGTCACTTCACCCATTCCCGGCCCGCTGCGGTGACTTCCCAAAGCGGATGCCGGTCTGTCCTGGAAAACTGGTCTCTTTGGGTGCTACAGAAAATGGGTCTTTATTAGACACCTTGCAAATTTCATCAAACAAGCAAGAGAAACTGGGGATACAACCGGCAAACCTAGGAATCCACAAAAGCTTTTGTCTCTGTTTTTTTTAAAGACACTGGACATACTACTGGATATGCTAGGATTCGCCGAGTATTCTACAGTTGAGCTTGGAATCACATCGCTTCTGCACAATCCCGGCTCTTGATTCACTCGCATCACTCCTGAGGTAGTCTGCCCGACCTTTTGAAGGATTCGTCAGTCCTAACATTTGGCGTAACGTCTTGCAGGTTTCCTAAAAAAGGGGTACCCCAAATCATCCAATTAGACCATTTTAGTATTGGAACTCATGGTCACTTGGGGATGCCATTTTAAGAACCCCCCCATTTGAGTGTTGCTCTCTGCGATTCTGGGCTCATTTCTGACTGAAGAGGGAGCTGGGCACAGGACTTGGTCAGTTTCAAGAACAGATCCCACAGGTGTCCAAGGCAAAGCTACGAATGATGGGTTTCAACTTCAACCCCTCAAGTCAGACAGATCCCAGAACTTTTGACTGGTCGCCCTTTCAACATATGGCAGCTAATCATAACATGATATATACACACATATATAATTATATATATACACATCATGGTACCCATACCCAATATATAATATCATATACAATATCATATACAATATCATATATAATATAATATCATATATATATACACATAATATATATATATAATACATACATTGTTCGAAACACTGGGTGGGCCATGGCCAACACTCGCGGGATCGCCGC